AGTCTAAACGGACCTTAAGAGATTGTAGACATGTGAAACCATGATTTATTCTGTCTTGATCTTCCAAACAGAGTTGGACTCAAACATATTATTAAAATGATATTTTGTTTTTGAAAGCATATTGTTATCAAATTTTGATATATCGTTTTATCGAATAGTATAGACAGGTTTCTTACTTGTATTTATACTCTTGAATTAAAAAATACTACACAAATACCAAAAAAGAATGTAATATTGATTAACGTAATGCATGCTACTGTATGAATAACTAATGTGATTGCAAAAATCAAATACAATATTACACCCATGGATATAATTTCTTTTTGCAAATTACACTAGTTTACAAAACAACATAAAAAGTGTGAACTTTAGTGGTTGACCAACGTTTCTTATGCAAAATCCTACGCTGAATTCAATGCCGTGGTCAGAAAAAATTAAAGTAGAGCCATTTTTGAGATATACAAAATTTTTGATTTTTTGAACTTTTTTTTATGAAGATGAAGTTAAATAAATTTGCTATCGTTCACTAGAATATTATGTCTTAATTAAAAATTTAATTTGGAAGTCATTTAAAAATTTACAGCATTTTTTTTTATTTTTCCTGCGAATTTTCCATAAAAATCTTGTTTTAATCAACATTTTTAATGGGATTAAAAGATTCATTCTTTAAGTCCATTAAAAACTGGAGAAAATGAGCCTTTAATGGATGAAATCGGTTGGAAATTGTCGAAGTTATGAATTTTTTTGTAAAATCATGGAAATTGAATGTTCCAAGATTGGCCACTTCCAGTAAGCCTTTCTGCGGACGTGTACGCATACGGTGCATTTCACTAACACTACCAGCTGTCACGCAAAATTAAATGGGATATTTTCAACAATATAATTTACGCTAGTGTTTGTGAGACCGCTCGGCGAGAACCTAACGCAACCAACTCAATTTGACAGCTTTCTTTCTTTAACATTGCTTAACGATGTATACGACAAAACGTGAATTCAAGTGTAAAAATGATCCTCAAAAGTTTTGTTACGCGTGTGGCAACTATATATTTACAAAATCGGTCAATTTCACTGCTTCGTTGCAAACTGCATACAGGCTTTATTTTAAAATTGATCCTGGAGACTTTGACGAACCGTGGATTCCAAAAGTATTATGTAGTTCGTGCAAAAGGTGCTTGGCTAGGTGGATGTCAGGCGCAAGGTAAATTGATTTTTTGAATAACTTTCATATAAACAATTTATGTACAGCATGGTACCTCTATGATGGTAGGGCTTTGTTCTTTCCTGATCGACATTATCTTACTTCATCTATTTTTGATAAGAGTTAATGTCTTACTTACTAACTCACTTATTTGTTATCTGTCAGTCGCTATTTGTCCTTTGACATGCCCACCATATGGCGTCGACCGTTTTGTCATGCAACGGATTGTTATTTCTGCTTGACAAAAGTTAAGCAACAAGGACGTCACAAAACAGTTGAGTATCCACAAGTGGCTTCTATGACAAAACCTGTTCCACATTCAAGTTCGGTCCCGTATCCTGTTTATCCAAAGTGGAAACGAGCGCCCTCTGTTGAATCGACCGTTACAAAAAGTGAGGAGGAATTCAAGGAGGAATGCGAGGAAGACTTCGAGGTGGAATTGGAAAGAAACCCAAAACTGTTTACACAATCCGAATTTAATGATTTGGTGCGAGATCTCGACTTATCGAAGAAGAAATCCGAATTGCTGGCATCACGCTTGAAAGAACACAACATGCTGAGCAAGGAGGTCAAAATTTCTTGTCACAGGAATCGTCACAAGAAATTTGACAAATATTATTCTACAAAGGACAAGGCATGTTTTTGCCATGACGTAAACGGCTTGTTTGAAGAGTTTGGTGAGCCATATGATCCAGCTGAATGGCGTTTATTCATCGATAGTAGCAAGTTGAGCTTGAAAGCCGTTTTACTGCATCAAGGGAATGAGAAACCTTCTATTCCATTAGCTCATGCCGTTAATATGAAGGAAACGTATGAATCAATGGCTCTATTGCTCAATTTGATAAATTACAATCAACACAATTGGAAAATTTGTTCCGATCTTAAAGTGGTTGCCATGTTGACTGGATTGCAACAGGGATACACAAAATATATGTGTTTTTTGTGTAAATGGGACAGTCGAGCTCGTAAGGAACACTACGTCCGAAAAGATTGGCCAAAACGGGATAATTTCACAATTGGTAAAGACAACGTTAAAAATGATCCTCTTGTGGTAAAAGAACGCATAATACTTCCACCACTACATATAAAATTTGGGCTATTCAAAAATTTCGTCAAAGCGTTGCAAAAAGAAGGGCCGGCATTCCAGTACTTGAAATCAGTATTTCCAAATTTATCTGACGCAAAGATAAAGGAAGGTGTATTTGTTGGCCCACAGATCAAAAAACTGCTCAATGATTCCGCATTCAATACAGTTTTGACACCAGATGAGGAAGAAGCGTGGAAATCCTTCCAGCGTGTTGTCACAACCTTTTAAGGAAATTTCAGAAGCCCAGATTATGAGGAAGCCATCGATGAATTGCTCAAAAATTATGAGAAAACAGGTATAAATCAAAAATATTGTGTTTATTACATATAATTAATTTCAAATCCTTTTATTTCACTGAACACAGGTGTGAATATGTCTTTGAAGATACATTTCCTACATTCTCACATGGATTTTTTCCCGGAAAATCTTGGTGACGAGAGTGATGAGCACGGCGAACGTTTTCACCAACAAATGAAGATGATGGAACGTCGTTACCAAGGGTTTTGGGATGAAGCAATGATGGGTGACTATTGTTGGTTTCTGATTCGAGAAACAAGTTCAAAACATCGAAGACAAAGTCATTCGATTCTCAATCATTTTTAATAAAACCTAAATAAATTTCTTTTGTATCAACTCGGTTTTAAATCCTGATCCTGATATGCCTTAATCAAATTGATATGTAGAGAAAAGAATCACCCATGAAAACTTTACATGCGATTTGGATGCTTACAACGACACCTAGAAAAGGAACTCTAAAGCTGTTGTATTTCAGCAACATTTTTAAGTGTTTTACAAAAATGCTCATAACTTCGACAATTTCCAACCGATTTCATCCATTAAAGGCTCATTTTCTCCGGTTTTGAATGGACTTTAAGAATAAATTATGAAATGATTTTTTGAATCTTTTTATCCCATTAAAAATGTTGATTAAAACAAGATTTTTATGGAAAATTCGCAGGAAAAATAAAAAAAAATGCTGTAAATTTTTAAATGACTTCAAAATTAAATTTTTAATTAAGACATAATATTCCAGTGAACGATAGCAAATTTATTTAGCTTCATAAAAAAAGATTTGAAATTGGTGCATTTGTTCCAAAGATATAGACATTTTAGTAATCGTACTTTTGTCCAAAATTCAAAAAATCAAAATTTTTGTATATCTCAAAAATGGCTCTACTTTAATTTTTTCTGACCACGGCATTGAATTCAGCGTAGGATTTTGCATTGGAAATGATCACCACCTTACCGAGTTCAAAAATGCTGTAAACTAGTGTTATGTGTAGGATAAATGCACCAATAGTGGAGGTACTTTAGTGCAATGTGTTCCTTTGGTGGCTTATAGAGTCTCCCTAAGCCGCTGTAGAAGTACATTGTACTAACGTACATCCACTATTGGTGCATTTACTGAACATAAATTGTACAAAGTAATATTAAACAACCTATGTGCATCTGTTCTGCTGTAATATTCAATAACTTTTTTTGCTGTGCCGAGTTAAAAGTACCAACGCCCAAGTTTGAAGAATCGAAAATAACATAAATCAATAAGTACATAAAAGGGATTCCAGATGGATAAATAGATAAAATAATAATGTGTATAATTTGTATGCACCTGGAATTTTTTTCATCCGACCTGGAAAAACCTGGAAAACTCAGGGAATATGATTCCTTGGATTGAGTAGACACCCTGTGGATGCCTTCCTTCGAATAACTACTGAAGTGCGGTAAAAATCGGTAGAACTGTTTCAAACACATCGTTGGTACTTGAGCGGTCGGCGATCATCTCTTTTTGCCAGTGGTGCCGGGGTGGGGGACACTCCTCACCATCCCTCTCCAAAGGGGGAGTTTGGTAAAGAGAGATGATAAAACCGATTTGTACCTTCCTTAAAAAAAAGTTGTCCTAGCTCGCTATCTACTTTCTATATGCAATTTTTCACACTGCCGTAATCTAAACGGAACTATCAATTCTATACTTACATCTCCTCCTCATCTATCGTATTAAAATAACCACTTCAGTCTGTTATTCGAAATAGCATCTTCAACTATATTTTTAACGATTTCATAAATATCATTCTTATTATTAACCTGGAAATTATCCGCTAAAGTTATGGAACAACCTGGAAAACCCAGGGAACTTTATTTAGCCAAATGACTGGACACCCTGTAGATAGAGAAGAACGATTAAACGTTAAAAAAAACTCTTTTCCAGTTCGTCAACTTCGAATTGTTCAAAAATAGTACAAAATGTAGGCTTATCCAGAAGAATGATCAATCTTGAAATAAATTCACGTTTAAAAAAGTTTGAAATAGTGACTTATTACAAGAAAAAGTGACTTAGTGACTTGGCCTTAAAAAAAGTGACTTTTAAGTGACTGGCTTGAAAAAAGTGACCAAGTCACTAAAAAGTGACTCACTACCAGTCCTGTGCAGCAGATAACCAATTTCTCAGGCAATAGCATTTGGTCATACTCGTGGAAAAAACCGAATAAACTCAAACAAAAGACGTATTTGCATCTCACCAAAGCGGGAAGGGGTATAACGGGGTGTAACTCACTTCAAAAGTTAGATCCACTTTTCCCCTTCAATACAAAATCAGGTTTATGAAAATCGATACTAACATTTACTGGTTAACAAAACTTACTCCCATTAGTTATGCGCTGAATAGAGTTCCGTGTTCACTAATTCGTCGTTCTGCTTTTTTGTCTTCTTCAATTTCAGGCGATAATCAAAAACATACCCACCTACACATGAAGTCTACAGGAGCTTTTTGTCCCGCCACAATCGATGTACCTAAGGTCAGCAGATCCTGCTAGCTCGCAGCATCTGCATGCTACAAAGTTGCTCAATTTATTTCTGCAGTTATTCATGAATGTATTGAACGTGAGATAAAAACAGAATATAGAAACGAGGTAAACCGAATACAACTTCAAGTACCTATGTGATGTCGTATGGGTGGTGGCAGTTTTATCCGTCGACGAGGAATAACAAATGAAGGAACCGTAGTGACATATGTTCCCCTTCTTTTTTGTGTTGCTGTACGGAAGAAGACATAAACGGCCAGCTGTCCGTCCGTTTTCGTCGTTGTGGGTGTTTATCGTGTTGAGGCGAGTGTAAATTCAAAACTTGATACCTAGAGCACGGCAAACAGCAGAGAGTGTTACCATCGGAAGATAAAAAAAATCTGGAATGGGTCGTTGAAAATAATAAAGTGAACTGCAGTAAACGACATTTTGAATACACGCTTGCAGACGGGACACCACCGAGGGGCGCCAATTCATCTGGTTACAGGTGTACGCAATCAAAGCTCCATTGATTCAATAAATGTAAGTAAGCATTATTAGCTGGTTTTTTATATTTGTATGACTAAGTTATGTTTCATGTCATGTGTCATGTCTGATCATACTACTCAATAATTTTGCGGAATTTTGACAAAGCAGACTTTGAATAAAATTAAAAGAAGGATTGATTTTTTTGGACGATGAGGATTTTCTAAGTAGTTTGTAGATCGTTTTTTTCCCTTGATTTATTTTCCGTCCATCTTGTTTTCCGTGCTGAGCACCAATGCTACCGACGCAAGGACCAACGGCTAAATTCGGAGGATTCATTACCTTGGGAACAAAATCGATCTTGTTGGCAGCATACCACTCCAGAACTACCTTGGAGTAGTGGCAGCTGGCCAAATCGGGCCAAAAGATGATTTTGCCCCTATGCTTGCGGATGAACTGCAATACACGCTTTTTCATGCATTCTTCGATGTAAACTTGGGATGTCATCGTCAAGGATGTGGCGAATGGTTCCGTTTTCAGGCCACAACTGTAAATCACTTGCCAAATCATGGCCTTCTTCGCGAACTTGTCGGCAAACATGAACTTGAATCTTCCCGGCACATCCCCACGTCCAATCTCGATGTAAAACTTTTGACCGGGAAGCTGCACAAAACCGAGTTTGACGTATGTTTCGTCATCGATCAAAGTGCAGCCCTTGTGTTTCGTCAAAACACGGTCGTACATCGAGCCTTGCACGCTTTTTGGCCACGGAATTCTGCTTCATGTGCCAGTTCGGATGTTTACTGGCTTTGTACGACTTGTATCCTTCCCTGGCATGGATGTTCCGCAAAGACCGGGGTTGGCTTGATTGCACCTCTGCACCATGCTGCGCAGCTGACGATCCCTGGTTCCAGTTTTTTCGTAGGTCCGCTGATTCCTTGCCACACTCAGAGTTTCCTTGTAGGTTTTGAGCACTCGACAAACTGTTGTTTTCGGCATCTTCAGTACTTTAGCCAGCTTGGATCGGGACCAGTCCGGATTTTCCAGGTGTTTGTGCAGAACATTTTTTCTTCTTTCGAGTTCCATTTGACGTTATGTCTGAACGCGATCGACTACTTCGATCAAACTTGCACCAGTTGTTTTCTATAGAAGTGTTAACAAACCACTGTCAAAGATTTTCGATTCCCAACACTAGAGGCGTGCTAGCGGCGTGCAAGGGGTGCTTTTTGTCCTTCTTGATAACTAGCATGAATTATTGAAGTTAACTTCGACTTGAAAAAATCTTTGTCATGGCTACATCTGGGCCCATAACCAATTGAATTGAGAGATTATAATTATAATAGAGATAATTAACGCATGTGGTTACGATATAAAGATTCCACGATACTTTGATTTGCATGTTGTTACTTCGTTTCTAGGGTAGAGAAAACTCTTAAATCGTAGGTTACTTCTCAATTACCACAACTTTACCACCGCATCACTTAACACCTACGACGTAAGTAACAGCCGTAACAGAAAATCCCCGGTGATAATTTCTGCAGCGTAATCCTTTAACCAGGATATTCATTTGTAGATTTATTTAACTGAACCACAAACATTCGATGTTCAATTATATTTAAATATTATACAACTGCCAATAGTGCACCCACTCATACTTAAAAACTAACGATCCCCCGACGAACGGGCAACATTTTATTTTACGTAACCTAGAGCTAAAGCACAACCAGCAGAACGCTGACTTGTCGTTGGATCTTTGCTTTTTTGCTTATCCATATTATTTTCCATAACTCATTCAGTTGATGTTTTCTTTTGTAAACCGATCCGGAACCCGTTGGATTTGAGCAGCACAAGCATCAAACCAGCCTTTTTTTGGTTCGAAAAAATCGGTCCGGGTTGCGGGAAGGACAATGAGCTTGCACAAATTAGTATCCATCAGCTTTGTGGCGCGGAGAAATTTCTGCCAACTCAGCGTCAGAGCTTCAGAGTGCGAATCTGAAGGAAAAGGACAACTTTCTGACGATGATTTCCCATCGATTGGTACCGTATGATGTCATCTTCATGTTTTGCCTTGATGATGAACTGCTGTGAGAGTATGTTTGTTTCAAGTCCCAAAAAGTATGCTTTCAATAAACGTACACTGCGGACCATTGAGCATTGGGAAGCATTCACTTGGCACTTGTGTTGTGGAGTAGAGTGGAATAATATTAAAAAAATCAACATATAACGGAAATGGCTCTAAAGTCTAAAGGCCTATGGATTTAAGATTGGACCCAAGTAAAACGGGGAAATGTATAGGAGAATTTGTTTTTTTTTTTAGTTTAACTTTATTTGCAATCAGACTTCGCTGATATGGTAGATCTATCAGATAAACAGATTTTACAAATCAAAATTTTGCTAATTTTTTTTTTAAACTTTTTTTTTTTTAACTAGTATGTTTATTTGGAAGGCTCAATCGCGTTAGCTTTACGGAGCCGATAGTTCATTGTTCTTTGTTTGTAACAAAATTCACTTAATTCTATGTCTAGTAGGAGTTGGGCCGAATAATCGCGGCTTACTCGAGGTTAGAGAGGTACATTGTCGAAGGATAGGATCAGGGGAGGAGCTTGACGGTAAGGTTTCGTTGTCTCGTCAGAGCGTTGTCGCCAGTATGAATGGTAGTGCGGTTCTAGTTTCGTCTGGAGTTCGACCGGCTATGGTGGGTGACCAGTGGGCGACGATGAGACTCATCGAGACGGGGGGACAAGACAAACAAAAACTAATAAAGAGAGACAAAAGACAAAGGAATTAAATTCTTATACTAGACATTTGAAGAAATACATAAACCGACTGCATATAGCAGATATCGCGAGTTCCCAACACGTCTCTGATAGGAACATAGGGTTGTCTTCCTTGGGCCTCAAGGGTATTCAAAAGTCGCTCTCTGGCGGCGTAATTATCCGTACATTGCCAAACTGCATGATTGATGTCATCGTAACCGTTTCCACACCGACAGATGTTGCTGTCCACGAGGTTTATTCTGTTGAGATGAGCATCTAGCGAGTAGTGGTTGGACATAAGTCTACTCATCATGCGAATGAAGTCACGACTTAAGTCCAAGCCTTTAAACCACGCTCTCGAAGAAACATTAGGAATAATTGAATTTAACCACCGTCCAAGATTTCCATTGTCCCAATCGGTTTGCCAACTCGAAAGGGTACTCTGACGCACTAAATGGTAAAATTCATCGTGTGAAATTTACCTGTCATAAAATTCGCCTTCCTGCGCGCCCACCTTTGCGAGAGAGTCTGCCTTCTCATTGCCTGGGATTGAGCAATGTGAGGGGACCCATACAAAGGTAATCATATATGATCTTTCGACCAGTACACTCATCTGCTCCCTTACCTTTGAAAGGAAATAAGATGAGTGTCTACCTTGTTTCATCGACCGAATAGCCTCAATCGAACTGAGACTATTCGAGAAGATGAAGTAATGGTCTGCGGGCATGTTGGAAATCATCCTCAACGCGAAGTTGATTGCTGCCAGCTCAGCAACAAAAACGGAACAAGGTTCCTGGAGTTTGCGGAAGGCACTAGAGTTTTCATTGAAGACACCGAAGCCAGTGGATCTATTGAGACGTGACCCGTCTGTAAAATATCTTTTCACGCAATTGACGTGTTGGTACTTTTCAGTAAAAATACACGGGATAATAATAGGTCGAAGTTGATCGAGAATCCCATGAGTTGCTTGTTTCATGGACAGATCATATTCAATTAAGGAACTGCGATTGGTGAAGTGAGCACGGTCTGGAGTATAACAAGGAAGACACATATCCGACGATATGTAGTGGTGGTAGATTCTCATAAATCGAGATTGTGTGTTCAGCCCAAGAATTTTTTCAAAATTTGCAATTATAAGTGTGTTCGTTACTCCGCATTTAATTAGTATTCTGAGAGAGAGCTCCCAGAAACGGTTCTGGAGGGGTGTTACTCCTGCCAGAACCTCGAGACTCATGTTATGCGTTGAGTGCATACAGCCGAGAGCAATACGCAGACAACGATATTGAATTCGTTCCAATTTTATTAGGTGACATTTTCTTGCCGAGAGGAAGCAGAAAGAGCCGTACTCTAGAACAGAGAGAATAGTTGTTTTATAAAGCGTTATGAGGTCTCCCGGATGAGAACCCCATCATGTGCCGCAAATTGAACGGAGAAAGTTGATCCTCTGCTGACATTTTTGCTTCAAATACGTAATATGGGTATTCCAAGTGCACTTTGAATCAAACCAGACCCCAAGGTACTTGAAAGACAATGATTGAGTAATGTTTCTGCCCAAAAGATTAAGCTGCATTTGGGCTGGGTACCGCTTTCGAGTAAACACTACCAGTTCAGTTTTCTGCGGCGAGAAATCGATCCCTAGATTCCTAGCCCAAGATGACAAGTTATCTAAGGAACTTTGCAATGGTCCTTGCAAGCCCACGGCATGTGGTTTTTAAACTTTAAATTTGTTTCAAATTCAAATTAAATTACATTATCCTTCCCGTTGGCTAGTTTTTGCACCTTGATGTTGATGAGCGGGCTTAATTTCATGCCTTGTAGTGGAGTGTTGGAGACGGTAGTTTTATGGCCGGCGTTGCTGGCTCATGCCGCGATAGAATGGCGTCATGGGCAGGCAATGGGGATTACTAAGCTTCCCCTCTCTGATAAACCACTGCATGAGAGAACCAAAGATCTAGTCCAGCAGCGATAGTATCACACTTGTTACTCCTTTGTTTGAGAGCCGCGTTGTAGTATGCTTACGTATAGGCATTGACGTTGGGTGCGATACTGGCGGGTTTTGCCGCAAATCACTCTTTTTTTTTACGCAGATAGATTTATTTGGGTTTGCAAGGGAATTATACTATTGAGATATTTCAGAAAGTGCTCAACAGTGCTCTTTCTATTTGCGTGACAAGCTTTCATTGTTGTTTTTATTGAGGCATTACTCAGGGAACAATGTTAAACACTATTTTTGTACATGGTATTGCTACTAATCTTAAATGGGCTTCATTTTGATTTGGGGCAAGTGTTTGAACTATGGCT